CTGAGCACGTCCCTCTTGTGCCCACAGTGTGAAAGCGGAACATATTAGCCTTTGTTGAATACATTGCGAATATGTTGTCCTCTATGTTAGCGAAACAGCTTTAATAACGTTGAGGAGTAGCATTGGGGTGAGATACGCGGCAAGGTGAACTGCTTTTCCATGTTTATATCCTTAAGCATCCGTCACATGTTAGATATCCTTTATTCTTTTAATCAGACAGTTTGACGTGAAAAGCTGGTAGAACTGGTAGAACATTATGTGTTTGTGGCCGTTTTACTGACGCTTCGGACTGATCAGCGACCTTTTTCAAATCAGAAGAACTAATACAGTTCAAAGAGACTAGGTTGCCGAATCATAAGTAAAGAGTCACTTCTACATATATGTGGTTTCATTTAGCGGCTACAGGAACATGGAGATCTGTCATCTTAAAGACCACATTATAAGTTCCAGATATTTCATTAAACAACAGCTTTTAACTTGCCCATTGGAAGCGCCTTATATGGTCACCTGACGCACCACTCTGGCGAATCTACAAACAGAGTCGTATTAAGGAGGGTTGGTGTTTATGCTGATCAATAGTTCCGAAAAATGCTAGAGAGTATCCAAATATTTTGGGTAGCCTTGAGATATCACAAAAGGTCCCTATTGTGCAGCTTACCTTGTAAAAGAGGTTTGCTAGAGCTTAGTTCTATAATTGCTAGCATTGGTCTTTAGTTCTTTTTTGGAACGGGCTTAATATAAGCAAACTTCGAGTTCCTGGAAAATTGCAGAACCTGAAAAGCGGCTTTTGCCGTCTGTTTGGATGTTTATCAAATACTTTTGTGAATATACTAGTATATTCATAGCCATGTATCTTATAATATTATACATAATCTGGGTAAAATCAAACCAAATTGAAAGAGCTTCTGTACCTCAAAAAATGACAGATAGACTTTTCATTGTGTTTATAACTTCAAATATATTATATATTATCATGAATACAATACCAGCAGTCAAAAGTTTAAAAGCAATTCGTAATCATACACCCTTTGAAAAATCTCCTTACAATGACTGCGCCATGCTTTATTATAAATTCCCAGCAAATACAGAAGAAATTATCGATTATAGATTATTTAGAAGACAAATTTAAGAATTATTATTAATATAATCATTTTAAGAGTGCAACGTACACATGCATCATTATTGTGTATTGATGTATCTAAGTGTGCTAGTTTTTTTTTGCTTCATGCAAGAACTTGTATCAATGTGGTCGATAAGCAACCAAGGAACTCAAACAAGTGGATATAATTAAATGTTTCATTACAAAGTTAACTTCGAGATGGGACGGCGGCAAACGCTTTTTCCTGAGAAATGTATATTAAGTCCTTAAGTGTCCAATAAGTTACCAAATGAATTGCAAAATATCACCGATCTAAGTCGGTTGAAACATCTTTTAAAAGAGTTTGTAGTCAACTAGTGTCTGTACTCCGTGTATGATTTGTCTCTCTCCAGTCTTATTGATCGACCTTATATCAAATTTCAATGTGTACCCTTTATGTTTATTGCTACTGCGTACCCTTTCGTTGTGAATGTATGATAACTATATTTTCAATGCCTACTTATTTTTAATTCGTCTGTTTATCTAGCTCCTGGACTAATACATCTCAGTGGAGCGAGCAAGATCCCTTAAATAAGAAATACACGTGCCATTCATCTCCCAGTACCCTCCTGATATGAATTTATTTATCCGTCCGCGTACTCCTACTCCTGCGACGACGAGGCTTGAGCAGCTTGTACAGGATATCCTTCCTTCCTGTAGCAGTAGTGACTGTAAACAAATCATTAATCTCGCAAAATGTGTCTTGGCCAAACAGAGGATGTATGTCTTAGACGTTTGATGTATTATTTACTACACTAGCTGTGTTCGCGCGCTGTATACAGTCACTAGCTGTTTACATTGACGTAGCGACAGAGGAACAAGATATTTGCTAGAGGAGAAATTAAAAAACACTCTACTTTCATATAATTACCCCCATATAGACAACATAGTTGTACCTACTTAGAGGGAAGAATATACAGGGTGTCACCTTTAAGTCTCCCCACCTAAATATTTCTAAAACTGCGCATTTTATGACAAACCTTCGAACAAATGTTGTAGGGCTGCGAAGGGAAAAGATGATGGTAACGTTGACAATGACCTTGACCACGACATTGAAGGTCATTTCTGGGTCAAATGAATATTTTCAAATGGCGACCCCCCTTCTTCACATCGCAATAGAAAAGGGTAGGAAAATTACGCCCGAATATCACCTAGGCTATCACTTTGCCCATGGAGTTCAAAGCCATCTCAAGGTCAGATCAAGACATCTAGTACAATTTGGACGTAGCAATTTTGCTTGTTTCATGACCAATATAAAAATGTAACGTTTCATTCGGGAATTCAAACTTGAACTTGAAAGTCCTAGTCAAGGCCATCCTCAAGGACACATTTGGGTGATCCCCACAAATCTCACAACTGTGCTGTCGAACATTTCTGCTATATCAAATTGTTTTCAGTTATTTGACCTTAAAATGGTGTTGAGGAAACTAGTTAACGTGATGGTGATGGTCATAGTCGAACGTAAAATTTCCTTATTTTTCCCAGAAAATATTCGCGTGACCTTGGAATGACATAGAGGTCATTGTCAAGGTCACCATCATTATGCCACATCGAGCCGTACAAGTTTTATAAAAATCTTTCTTCTAAGATAATAGGCTATCGGAATATTTAGGTGAAGAGATTAAAATCAGCCACCCTGTATGAGTCTTTCAATTAGAAAAAACGTACTCAAATTGCTTTATCTGTTTGGGAGTTTTTGCGTCGGGGGTCAAAAAGCTAACAGAAAAATGAGTCTAGCATACTCGACCGATTTTCTTCAAAAGAGCGATCTAGAAACTTTCAAAGTCGAAACTTTTGATCACCCCCAAGTTCACCTCTCCTTAGCTCTTAAGTAGCTCGTAAATTTTCATCTAACAAAGCGAAAACCATCTAAGACTGAAAAATTGCACTCAAATTGGCTCATTTGATTACCTTTTTTTTTTTCGTATGGTGATAAAAATCATACAGAAGTAGTTACGTCAAGTGGGTTGACTAAACACTAACCCAGATCTTCTGAAATTTTAAAAAAAGACTCTGAGCGATCATTTTTTCGTTTTTGGCATTTTTTCCGCCGTCAGTGGTCCGATTTTCAGAAACTACAAAGCTTTTCTGCCCTTGGCATACTAGTAACCCTGTTTGAAAATTACATCCAAATCCGAGCAGTACTTTCCAGGGTGAGTGAATTTTCTGTTATGTACATGTACATATATAACATCTAAAAAACATTGTGTCCTATTTTCGAAAAATTTTGCGATTACAATACTTCCTCGGCAGCAAGCATGGGAAGTAAAAAAGGGGCTATTAAACGACTTGACTGTTTTTCATTAACGACCGATTCAGTAATCTACAAATCAAACCTTTCACTACGGATACTCGAAACATAATATTGCAGTGCTGAGAAGAAACTTACCTATCTAACGTGTTTTACCTTTTAATCATCTTACTATGCACAAAACATTAAACAAGACCCATCATGTTTGTAATAATGTGCTACTACTTTGGTGACGGCTTACCAAATTTCAAGGATTGTAACTTGATTATCTCGAATATTTCAATAATGATACGTCTCCAGTTGCCATAATGTTTGCTATTGTAACATTAACCACTTATGCATGAGAATTAAAAACTGCAATAGTAATGAAAAAGCAATAACAGAACCTAATATGCTCAGGTCACGTCAACCACAATCGACTAAGTAGTAATTAGTTCATTTTCTTTATGTACTCTGTGTGCGCTGCACGCCACTGTTCATTACTTCCACATTAGATACGGACGGAATTGCTCTTTCTTGAACGCGGGGACAAGAGAAATATATTAAGCATCCAGGTCAACGACCCCGGTCTTACGAATCAACCCTTATTTTATACATCACCGAGATGAGCTTGTGTTTATCTCAGTTCATCTGAGCTTGATATGAATCAAGATAGAAACGGAACTTGAGTGGTGTATGAACATATTACTAAGACAAACGATTGGAGATAGCAAACCATTACTTCGTTCAAGCCGTTGTATCCTTATCATATACCATCGGTGCAATAGAGTGTCTATATCTCTACTAGGCGTAGACAGAGTGTCCACAATATATCGGTGATTTAAAACCGCCATGGACTTTATATCGTGGATAGAGGCTAATCGCTATGCTTTTAGTCGTTGTTGACGAAAGCAGCATGTTCAAGTGAAACCCTCTGAGAAAAAAGTCAGTTATGAAAATGTGTAACAGAGAAAATAAGAGGATCAACTCCCTCAAACAGGTCCATACAATTAGTCCCCATACATCTTTCTCCTGCTCTATCCGTAGTACCGTCGATCTAACAATGTCGCCTCTCCTCAATACCATCATACTCCAGACGTGGCAACGCGACAAATCCAATTCAATTCAATTCAATTTATTTTCCATAGACAGACAATACTGTATGGGAACTGTCAATACAATAAGTCCTAAGACAAAAAAATAACGTAATTAATAAGGTTTAACTGTTAAAAGCTACAAAAACTGTAAAAACTGTACTCCAGCAGATAACTTTTCAATTCTTTCTTAAATGATTTCTTGCTGGTTTTCACTTTTATATAATCGGCCAGCCAAAATAAGAAACGATTTTTATTCTAGATCGCTAATCGAAATCCGACTCTGTTATTATAAAAATTTACCTTGGTATGCATCCGCAGTCATCCTTTCCTCTTTTAAAGTAGCGCCAACGACCGTCAAGGGCCAGCCTACCCTCCTTTCCTTTTCACCCCCCCCGTTACCTCAGCAGATGGTGCTTGGGATTGTAGGAGCCCCGTTAAGAGACCTTAACATCATTCTCCACACCAATTTCCACTGCACACAGCAAACAAACATCAGAAAAGTCACTAATATCATTGCGTATTTCATTTAGTTTGTCTAAATTGATCGTGTTAACATTAATTAATAACAGATGTGGGGAAAAACCTAAGCTGTTTCGGGCTTGTCCTTTGTCAGTCTGTATAAACCTTCAGGCATACATCTGGTAACATTGCGACTCGAAAATTATTAAACAAAAGACATATCTTAAAAGACGAATATTGCTCTGGATATTTGGAGGGCAAGGCTTCACATTTCACTCCCGGCAATGTTTTCTTTAACTGGTTCACCATCTGCGCTTCAGTTGTAGCTGGATCAATTCGATAAACATGAAGATCTACATATTTTGGTACGCCTTTTATGGGTCCTTTCCTATTATTTCCGACTACTAAATCGCGTCTCCGTCTTCTGTGTGTAGCATATTACCATTCCTCATTATCTTCATTTTTTGGTGGTCATCGTCAATGTCAATATAAGTCACTTTTTCTTAGTTTGAGATTGTAGTATTGCAGCTGACACCGTTTGTTTAGAGATACCACTAGACGGCATTCCTTGGTTTGACACATTGTTATTATTTCCTATTTTTGTAGCTGGTTGTTATTGTTCTTTTTGTTCCACCTGCCTGACCTCTAACTTTTTGCGATCTTCCATATTTTTGCGGGTTGTGGGTATATGCTGTATGTTTTTGTTTGTTTTTTTTAGGTGGGTGTTCCGTTTTATTTATAATTTCCACTTGATTCATCAGGATTCTAACTTTTTGTTGTAATTCGGATATGATCATGTGCGTTTGTTTAATAATGTATGTGAATAAACTCACATCGATTCTTGTATTGGCATCTCAGAGGCTCTCTATGGCATCGAAGAATGCGGTATGATCATCATCAATTGCATTCTCACAACAAACCATTACATTATCATCGATAGTTTTCACATTACCTCTGCGAGCACAACTTGCGTGGTAATAAGTTTCACATTTAGCACATTTTGAACCATTAACAACTTTAGATTTACACTTTTTACACACACTATTCGTGTTGCTGGTAGCGTCCGCCATACTCGTTGAACTCCGCCAATCATACGAAGACACCCATGAAGATCGGTGACCAGCTGATGAAGCTAGACAGTTGGAGGGACGCGTGGTCAAAATAGTTCTCTATCATTCTAAATGTTCTGGGCAAATGTGTTAAACGCTTTTTCGTCCTTGACATATTAGAAACCTTGCGTGCAAAATTCATTCAAATCCCTGAGGTACTTTCCAAGTTATAGACGACGGGCTAAGGATGAGCGTACGAACAGATCGACAGACTGGCTGAAATTGGTGTCATGGTTTCTCATGATGTACATGTCATATAGCATCGAAAAAATCTAATATATCATTTTTGAATTGTTTCGCAATTACAGTACTTCTAAGCCAGTAAGTGTGAGAAGTAAGGACGAAAAAAGTGATTCCGTGGACACTCTGGGCCCGCGATAAATTCACAGTTCGAACGCACTTTGCTACAAACTTTGATAGAAGCTGTATCCGAATTATGTACAGGGTGGGCAACTACGAATGCGAGGTACAGTATCTGGGAACCTATCCACCGCATAGGCTTGCGGCCTAAATTTTAAGTTAGGAACAAGATACCGAATTGCGGTTTTAAGCAGCTTCTTCAGACATCATTTAGCTACTTTTTCATAAGAGAATTCATACCGATGCATTTAATTTTTTTTTTGAGAAAAATAACCATTTCTGTCGAAAAAAGCCCTCTAGCAGCCACATGTGAAACTAACACAACTTCAAACATTATAACATTTGTATCCCAAGAATAGCTCTTTTCAACTAGAATAAGTTTGTTAAAGTCGGCTCTGCCGTTTCGAAGGTACAGGGTGTTTTTAACGGAAACCTTTGAATACCCCTCACCACTTTATTTTTAGAGATACAGCAAATAAAGTTATCCTCGACTTTGAAGTCAGGTATTTTTTGTTAGGTTAATACAGCGACATTCACAGAGACATCACTTTTTTAGATCTAAGACTGCAGTTACGCCCCCTACCGGCCATTTCAGATACTTGAAAATATTTATATTTTCTAGGTTTTTCTCTTGCCGTTTTAGTAAGAACTTCTTTTGCCGCAAGCCTCTGCGATGGATAGGTCTCTAGATACAGTTCTTCGCATTCCTAGTTGGCCACCCTGTACACATTGGAGTTGATATATCAAAAGAGTATTCTTTATAATAATGCCATATATCGAAAAAAGTATCAAAACGCGGACTGTAAAGCATTTATTTTCAGCTTTTAGCTTTAAAATGACATCCAACCACAGAAAAAATATAATAAAGGTAGAAGAGCTTTTAACATCGATTTTAATCTAATTCAGTATGAATATTGCAGCCGATTATCGAAAGCATCATTCACCGCGTATGCAGGATTTACCAAATTTTGAATTCCTATTTCGAAACTATACGCTGGCATAGGGTAACGAAACATTTTATTTGATGCATTAAATGATCATGCTAAAAGCCCTACCATAAAAGTCCATTAGAAACTAACGGTTCAGAATCGCATTAGCCCGAACATGCGTTTACGGTTTTACATTCAATATTGTAAATGGTCGCTACCCTTTGTTTGGCAGCAATAAGTGTTGCTGAGTAGCACCGTACATCAGCAATTCCACAGTAATGCCAACCTGTTAGTCGAAGACTGAAGCTTTACATCGACTGAGTAGCTATGGTTTTATACAGGGTTATCCAAATTAAGTGTCCACCATTAGTAACTTTGTTATTAGTGAAAATACAAAGTTGTTTGAATTAGCAAACTAGTAGCATTTTTAACGCTGGTAAAAATGAGAAATAAAAAAAAACAATTGAGAGTCGTTATTTTGATTTTTTTCAGTAAAATAACATTTTTTTAAATGGAAACCCCTTTATATTATATTTTTTTCTGTTAAAGCATCAAATTTTAAACAAAAAAGTTTACAATAACTTTTCTCCTAGGTTACAAATTGTTGAAGTTATGGCCTCCAATCTGAAACAATTAAATTGTATCGACAAACTTTCTTTTAAGCATCAACTTATAATCTTACAAAATACAATAACAATTTTTTTTAAAGAAGATGCTCGAAAACACCACCTTGTTCTTCAATACATTTTTGGGCACGTTTTTCAACTGCTCGAACTGTCTTAAGTATGGTCCTACCATCTATCTGGGTTATCTTTTCCCTAACTGCAGTCTTTAACGCGTCAAGGTTATCGTACCTTCGCTTGTAAATTTGGTTCTTTAAGTAACCCCACAAGAAGTAATCAAGTGGGTTTAGATCTGGTGATCTGGGAGGCCACTGTATTGGGCCATTTGTTCCTATCCACTGATCATTAAAAGTAGTACTTAGAAAATGATAAGTACCTCTGGAGTTGTGGGCAGGTGCGCCATCTTGCTGAAAATGCAGATGATGTCTACTTATAAGATCCAATTCGTCTAAGAAATTAGTCAGAATTTCTGACATAAATTCCACATATCTTTCACCAGTTAGGGTTCCCTCATAAAAGAACGGGCCAACAATTTTTGAACCAATTATACCGCACCAAACGTTGAAACTGAAACGGACTTGTGGGCCTCTTGGATGTACTAACAAAAGATTTTCTCTTGACCAATAATGGTGGTTTTTTCTATTAAACATTCCAGAATTTGAAAAATTTGATTCATCTGTCCATAAAAGGTAACGAAAGTTATTTACATTTTGGCGACAGAAGCTAAGATACCAATGGCAAAAAACAAGTCTTCTCTCTGGATCCCCTGCCAAAAGCGTTTGAACTGGTCGGTACTTATACGGAATAAATTTGTATTTTTTTAAAATCCTTTGAACAGTACCATAACTGAAATTATACTTCGGCGTCCAGTCCAAAGATGTTTATTATTTCACCACGTAGTCCGCCCTGTCGTGCTACCAGCCACAAGGTTTTTAAAGCAAAATCCCCCTCTGCTACGCCCGTGTTCCTGTATATGCCGCAGCTTTCCCCTTCTACAGTCATTCGCCTTCTTGTGCTCGACCAGCTCGCATCAACACCGACAGCCAACCGTACCTTCAGGACGTAAGTAGCGTAAGTAAAATAATCATTTACTGGTTTACTTCTATCCCTCGTTTATATAACTAGATATGGGGAAGCAGAAACGACAGAAGCGCAGCAGAGAATCGTCTAGCAGCAGTTCAGACTCGGATATGGAGAGCCGAAAGCGACTTAAGAAATTAGAACGGTTTTATAAGAAATATAAAAAGGATCGCCATGGCCGGCGATCGCGATCACCGCGCCGGCGTGGCAGTCGATTGCGTCACCGCTCAGCCGGTAACCGCTCGCATTCATCTCTCTCTCCATCTCCAGCGCGCTCGGCGTTGCCATCTTCCCGCCGACGGTCAGACGACTCGCCTCGGCGGGGTTGCCGTTCACTCTCGAATTTCCCTGATTTAGGGAATGGTATAGCGCGAGACCGGAGCGTCTCGCCAATTACCGCCGATGGTCCAAGCACCTCTCCTTCGGCTCTCTCCCGCTCAAAAAACGGTGAAGCGCGAGCTCCTAGCGACTCGTCAACCACCGCCAATGGTCTAAGCACCATATTAACATCGCACGAACAGGACGTGCTGATCGTAGACAACGATGTGGAGCTACCGGACGATATATTGGACATTTTAGGAGTAGAATCAAACGAAAACAAGACTGATAATCTCAAAATTCATTCAGCTTTAGCCGCTCGATGGTCTAAGATCATCTCGCAGGGATTGTCAGAGGTAGAATATAACTCCATGGCCCAGAATTACAAGCCACCGTCCAATTTACCGTTGCTTGCTCCTCCGATAATGAATCCGGAAACACAAAATATTCTTCCGGCCAACATGCAAAAGAAAGACAGTGCTTACGTAATGTTCCAATCAAAGCTCGGAGCGGGCATTTTGGCACTGGGAAAAGGAATTGATAGCATTCTGTCGTGCGCAGAATCCATGCCCAGTGTTTATAAAGATACACTTTTACCTAGCCTATCGGACTCAGGGCGCATCCTGGCTAGTTTATTCCACGATTTAACAATGGCACGACGCATGTTCGCCTATCCTTATATGAACAAAAATACTAAAGAATTGTTACAAAACCGTCCCCCTACGGACCTGCTATTCGGATCTGATCTTAGCGATGTTATTAAGGCAGCAAAGTCAATACAGTCGACAAGCAAAGATATTAAATCAGCTCAGCCTTCATCGACATATAGGGTATCTACAACACCTAAGCAGTATTATAGGCCAGGAAAAAAGGGGGGAGGGCAAGCAAGGAATAGCTCCCACTACGTGTCTTTAAACAAGAATCGCCCAGCCCGTCGATCGAGGGAGACAGGGCACCAGAGGGGCACCACCTCGTACGAACTGAATCCGAAAGACAGATACAAGAGGAGAAAATAAATAAGGTAAGTTATAATAATAATCCTTTTTCAGGTAGACTCGCAAAGTTTTATGAAAAGTGGACAACCATCACCCAAAATAAAACAATCCTGCAATGGATTATGGGTTACAGAATACCACTCAATAGTGTTCCCATACAAAGAAACGTACCCAGACATTCTTTTTCTCTTGCCGAAAAACATCTCCTAAACGCCGAAATAGCGAGCCTACGGCTAAAAGGAGCAATTGTGACATGCTCTCCACAGAGTGATCAATTTATATCCAGGATTTTTCTAACTGATAAGTCCAATGGTAAGAAGCGCTTCATTCTGAATCTAAAAAATCTCAACACCTTTGTGGAGGCTCCCCATTTCAAGATGGAGGACACACGTACTGTGTTGAGACTAATTCAAAGAAATTGTTACCTTACGTCAATTGACTTGAAAGACGCATACTTTCTGATTTCCGTAGCACCGGAGTTTCGCAAATATTTGCGCTTCACATTTGAGGGAAATCTATTTGAGTTTGCATGCATTCCCTTCGGTCTAAGCTCTGCACCACATGCATTTACCAAAATTCTCAAACCTGTAGTAAAGAACCTTCGGTTGAAGGGCATTTTATGTGTCAATTATTTGGATGACTTCCTAATCCTTGGCGAAAAAGCAGACATCTGTAAGCGGAACACCGAAACCGCAGTGCAGTTATTGGAATCACTCGGGTTTGTAATTAATCTTGATAAAAGTTCCCTGGCCCCCTCACAAACGTGCAGATTCTTAGGATTCATGTTCAATTCTTTGACAATGAAGATCGAGGTAACACGAGAAAAGAGACAGAGGATCCTGAAGTGGATCAACATTTTTCAAAGGAAAAAGATATTCAGAATCCGACAGTTCGCCCAATTCTTGGGTCTCTTAGTCTCTGCATGTCCAGCCATTAAATACGGATGGCTATACACGAAGTCTTTCGAAAGAGATAAACTAATCGCTCTGAGGAAACATCGCATGGATTACAACGCAAATATGTCTCTTTCATTACAATCACGCGTCGATCTGTCATGGTGGCTGAATAATATAAGTTCAGCAAATAACGACATCAAGCACGACTCATTCCAACTAGAAATCTTCACAGACTCATCCCTTTCCGGTTGGGGCGCTTGTTGTAACGGGGAGACTACGCACGGCTGGTGGACAGAATCCGAGAAAGATAATCATATTAACTTTCTGGAGTTGCTTGCAATATTCTTAGGTTTGAAATGTTTCGCCAAGGGTTTAGAAAACTGCAATATCCTAATAAGGTGCGATAACACGACTGCTGTTGCCTATGTCAACCGCATGGGAAGTGTACAGCACGCAAAACTCAACAAACTAACTAAGCAACTATGGCAGTGGTGCGAGATTCGAGGCATATGGATACAGGCCGCCTATATAAATACAAAAGATAATTGGGTGGCGGACACAGAATCCAGAAGATTACAGCCAGAGACAGAATGGTCTCTAGCGGATTGGGCATATGCCAAAATCACCCGAAGGTTGGGTGCGCCTAACGTAGATTTATTCGCATCTCGAAACAACTATAAATGTAAAAGGTATGTTTCGTGGCTGAAAGACCCTGGATCATTTGCATGCGATGCCTTCACTATTCCGTGGACGGGCATCAACTTCTATGCATTTCCACCATTTTCCGTAGTTTTGAGAGTTATACAAAAAATAATAAATGACAAAGCAAATGGGATACTAGTGGTACCGTTTTGGCCTTCCCAAGCGTGGTATCCACTTTTCATTAGGCTTTGTAGAGGAGAACCCATTTTCTTTGAGCCACAACCGGATCTATTGATTTCACCTTTCAGCAGCGCAGAACATCCTTTAGCGGGGAACCTTACCCTGGTAGCGGCGAGACTATCCGGCGAGCCCTAAGGATGCAAGGTGTTCCCGAGTGTGCAGTCGAAACGACATTGCAATCCTTGTCTGAAGCTACGATAAAACAATACGGAGTCACATATAAACTCTGGTGGGAGTTTTGTAAGGCTCATAATACTTCGCCATTTAATGCCCAGGTTAGTGAAGTTATCACCTTTCTGCAAAGCATTCTTGATAAGAATGATTGTCTATTTGGATCCTTCAACTCTCACAGGTCAGCGCTTTCATTGATTTTGCCATATAAATCAGGGGATAATCCCATCTTAAAACGGTTTATGAAGGGCATATCTCGAATAAGACCACAGCAGCCAAGATATAGTCTCATTTGGGACCCTAAACAAGTCCTAGATTTTCTGGAAGCGCATCAGACAACTTCCCTGAAACAACGTTCAATGAAACTGGTGACCCTATTGCTGTTGGCGACAGGACAAAGGTTGCAGACTATATCGAAAATAAAAATTAGCAATATACGGGAAACCTGCGACTGTGTCCAAATTTTGATAGACGAGACGATCAAAACATCGGGACCGAGATCAAAGCAGCCTTGTCTGATAATCCCAAGGTTCAATGACAGACCTCAATTATGCGTAGCAAATTGTCTGACATCCTACGTCACAGAAACTGCGGCATTAAGGAATCAAAATGACGAGTATTTGTTCCTAACAACCCAAAAACCATACCGAACCGCTTCCAAACAAACTCTCAGTCGGTGGGTAAGAGACACCCTCAAAATGGCAGGGATTGATACTAACATATTCAAGCCGCATTCTAGCCGGCATGCGTCAACTTCTGCCGCTAGCAGAGCCGGAGTTTCTTTGGACATTATAAGGGATTCAGCAGGATGGAGTAGGAATTCTGAAACCTTCGCGAAATTTTATAATCGACCTCTAATATTTAGAGAACAGTTTGCATTAAACGTTTTGGACGTACAGGAATAAGCATTTACTTATGTTTATGATATACCGCACAGGTTTTTGTTTGAATTTTGCCGGTGGCAAAACTTTAGAATTTATTTCAAATGACATTTTTCTTTTATGCTCCCTTCATACGTTGTATCGCATGAAGTTGCATTAAACGTTGCGTTTAGCAGCAACCGTTCATTTTGAGTTATGTTACACACTGTATCACATAGAGTTTTGTTTGAGTTTTGCAATATATCATCGTTCTCCCAATAAATGCTTGATCACCAAAGCCTTATACTTTTTATTTCCGTTCGTGTCATAACCCATACATCTTTAAACATCTACGTGGTGAAATAATAAACATCTTTGGACTGGACGCCGAAGTATAATTTAACGATCAAATGAACTTACCTTAAGGAAGTTCGATCGAAATTATATGAGGCGTCCAGTCCAAAGATGTAAGCTCCCCCCCATGCCCTACCCTGATGGGTTATGCACAAAACGGAATGATTTCAACTAAATGACTGTAGAAGGGGAAAGCTGCGGCATATACAGGAACACGGGCGTAGCAGAGGGGGATTTTGCTTTAAAAACCTTGTGGCTGGTAGCACGACAGGGCGGACTACGTGGTGAAATAATAAACATCTTTGGACTGGACGCCTCATATAATTTCGATCGAACTTCCTTAAGGTAAGTTCATTTGATCGTTAAATTAGAGTCCTTGAGAATATCTGCTATTGAATTCTCACGATAAGCTTCAAAATATCCAATAACTGCAATTTCCGTGGCCTCGCTTATTATGAATTCTTTTTTTGCCCTTGTTTTAGCAAAAACATTTTCGTTGCCCCTAAATTTTCGATAAAGTCTCAGAAAATATCGTTCATACGGTTGAATGCGAGCGGGATATAATTCACTGTAGTATTCTCTTGCTCTCAAGGAGGATTTTCTGCACACTAAATAGCATTCTAACATATCACACTTTTCTTCATGGGAGAACATTTTTCTTTCAATTAATGACACAATAAAGCTTATAAACAAGTATTTACACTAATGTTTGACATTATTTGATTTTGTCATTGTTTTCCAAAGCCTTCTAGTTGCGAGTATGTCCAGTTTAACAATTTGTCGCTTATCTTAATGCTGTCAAATCGCGAACGCCATGTTGTTTTCATAGCCGTCTTAATATTATAATACTGCAAATAATTAAAAATATTTATCGTTATTTTGACTTTATTTTTGACTTTAGCGGAAAAGTCATTATGAACTTTTTTGTTTAAAATTTGATGCTTTAACAGAAAAAAATATAATATACAGGGGTTTCCATTTAAAAAAATGTTATTTTACTGAAAAAAATCAAAATAACGACTCTCAATTGTTTTTTTTATTTGTCATTTTTACCAGCGTTAAAAATGCTACTAGTTTGCTGATTCAAACAACTTTGTATTTTCACTAATAACAAAGTTACTAATGGTGGACACTTAATTTGGATAACCCTGTATACAACGCATTCTGCAAGCCAGATGTTTTTGCGCAGGGAGCCTCAAAAATAGAATAACATATTTTGGCTAGTATTGAGATAGAAAACGCATTTCATACAGGGTTAGAAATTAATATTGTTTGGGGTCCGTATTTTGCTTATAATTTATTGGATGTACCCGCATTATCTTGAAAGTATCTGGAGTTTCTGATGTCAACATATCATAACATTTAAGTGTTTTTGTTTGACAGTACTAATACCTAATCATGTTATAAGGCGGTTTGTGTATTTAAACAAATTAAAATGTCGTTTAATTGGGACGACGAAGCTGTGCTGCTCTTAATTGAAAAATTTCATGAAAATGATATATTATGGAATCCCAGAAATGCATACTATAAGAATAGGAACAAACGAATGTACGCATTGAACATAATTGCAAGTGTATTTGACATTGATAAAGGCGAAGTAGAGAGAAAGTTAAAAAATTTAACCTCTCATTATTTTCGGGAAAAAAGAAGTTAGAACAGTTGCACAAATGTGGTGCACGCATAGACGATGTACAGGAACCAAAGTGGTTTGCTTACAAAGCATTGAACTTTTTGCGAAGCAAAAATAAGCCACCGAACTAGCAAAGCAGTGGTATAAGCTTTTGGTAAAAGAACCGCTCAGCCATAAAAGCTCTCTATTGTTCTTGCCTGAACACCAAAATGCTGGCTTAATGTTGTGCGGAATGCAAATTTGCTTTCTGCAACATATTTGCTCTAAAATGAGGTGTTTAAAATATTCTTATAGCATAGTTATACAACACCTTATAGGGAAAATTTTTAACTGTTGCATAAACGTTGCCTTGTTGTTTTGCTGTGCAATTTACTACCTTAGCCAACAAATTGCTCCCAACGGAAGCAATTATACAACTGTTGTTTAGTAACTATTACATGCTGTACATATGCTAAATATGTTGGTAAACAACTTCACCATAACCTAACTTTCTGCTGTCATATTTTTGTTAAAATGCCATAACCAATGTTTAAGACAAACAACGCATGCATATTGGTTCAAATGGTTCTATCAACTGTTCAAACAAAAGATATAGATCTGGTACAAATTCTGGGTAAATCATTCGACTCTGTCGGTATTTCATTTCAGACATTTGTCAACAGCTGCAGGCAACACCAAAATATTCTAATAACCTAAAGACAACATGGACGATGCCATGACTGTACACAACCACCCGCCGTATTGGGCAAACACTTATTCCTCGATTTAATATTAAATAATTATGTTTCAGTTCGAAATTACGGATATAAAATGTTAAACATTAGTGTAATTGTGTCTAAATTTAGGATTTGTGGAAGATTTAACGCAGATAAGTTCAGTTTTCCTTCTTAAAAATCTAGACATACTTTTGATCATTGTCAAAATATGAATCAAATACGAAGCCCGTAAAAATTGGGTAACTAATTTGCACGATAATCACAATAAAATTTGCTGCGCAAGTAACTCAATAGCCCTATATCAAAGTGTAGAAGTTTGTCATATACCTGTGTATGAAATTCACAATGGCCGATATGTAAGTATATATTCTTCACTTCGTCTATACAATACATAAGAAATAGTTTGGTTGCAATAAAGTAGAATCACGTATGAGAATAGTTGTATAGTTGACAAAAACTGAATCTCGCACTGACGCAAATGTCCTATAGCGGCTGCTTTATAACTGTTACCTGCAGCCCTTATACATCCTCTTAAATGACTGAAGTGTCCTATTAGGTGTGCCCATTCCGCTTGCATAGCTGTTCTAAGACTGTTTTGCCAATGTTATTACAGTATACAATGCTGTTTAAGGAATACTGTATAATCATTCTTGCAACTCTAATAGGAGTGATAATTGTTAGTTGGGCACTACCCACAGTAAATAGTGAAAATGATGTAAGTATTCATGTTTCCTATATTTCTTGTTTATTTTATCAGTTGTAAATCAATATAAATTGGTTGAGTAGTTCCGTTCCTTTGTTCTCAGTAGTTCCTTTGTTAGTTCCTTTGAAGAACCTAATGTTACTTTTTTGTATCAGTTGTTCCTTCAAGAGATCTAAAGGAACTATTGAGACTGCTTACCAATATAATATTAGTATAAATATTAAATACCTCCCATGATAAAAAAATCATATTATTTCCTTCTATTTATAGACGGATTCGCAAAAAAGTCAGCAAGACAATGCAACAGCGACTGGTTCCCGGAAAAGGAGATGCGGTACTGATGGAGACGGTGATATTGCCGAAGCTCTGCAAGTTTCAAAAATATGTCAGCTTCGTCATCTGCTCGCGACGATGCCTCGGTATTCGGAGAATACATAGCAAGTCAAATACGAAAAACGGATACTATGACAATATCTACAGTACAATATCATATTCAAAATATAATTTACGAGGCTGAAATGGGCGTTTACCCAAAACCTTCCAGGGTGGAGGCAGCTCAAGGATATTTTACCACTTCGACACCTGAATTCTAGCAATATCACATTCATTCAGGCCATATCATAAATAAAAATAAAATAAAAAAATATATTTGGCCAATAGAGGACAAATATACATTAGGTTATGGTGTTCTTTAGCTTCCCCTCTAGGATTCCCTGTGAGTGAGCTTCCCTGTGACTATCAAGAGTGAGTCATTAAAAAATATATAT